CAGATAACCACCTAGAGAAACACAAAGCACTACTTTTACTTCTACTTTTAGCATTATTATCACCTTTAAATATGCCAAGCGTTTCCTTATTTTGTGAACACTTATTCAAAATAAGGAACTTTCTCAAATGAAAACCAATTTTTCTCTTTCTCTTTAGCCTCCTTGCTGCCCTATAGTTAGCCCCTAATAGTGAAACTAGGTCTGTTAATTGTTATTTTCTGCTTTTTCCTTCCTGTCCTCTTATTCGCCCAGCTGTCTCAAGCCGGAACCTTGTAGGAAGAGAGTTATATTTTAGAAAACTGTTTGTTCTGACATTTAAACAAGCTTCCATTTTGTTTTTCCATATTAGAATTTTTTCTCTTCCCCTCTTCCACTTCCAGCACTCTGTCTGACCTGTCATTTTTTCAGCTCATTCATTATTGTTAAGGTTTGCAGATTATACCAGAGGAAGGAGACAGATTTATAAACCTATGTTCCTGCCCAGCTGCTTCAAGAAGAGGAATAACATTCTTATTATTACTGTATACCTGCTCTCTGTTTACAGCTCATCTGCCCTTGTTAATGAGGCACCAACTTCGAAGTCTTACCTTGCCTAGAAATAAATGGATTCTGTTCCTATTCAAATTGGTTATCTGGTAATCAGAGCAGGTTATCACTGGGAAGAGACATCCATATGAATTCACTTTGCTAACAGCCAGAGAGAATTTAGCCCAGTTGCTTTCTTAGAAGGTCTGTCTGTGTATATATACACACACATATATACACAGAGCTGAATCACTTTGCTATACACTTGGATTAACACAACATTGTAAATTATACTTCAGTTTAAAAATAAATACATGAGGGAAAAAAAAGAAAATGGTAAAAAAAAAAAGATCCAATTGACTAAACCAAACTTCTTGCCCTGATTTCATTAGATTGAGACTTTCTGTTGGGATAATCTTTTTTTTTTTTTTTCAGCTCCCTTGTCTGATCTGGTTTTATGCTACAGCATTCTAAAATCTGATTCCAAAGAGAACAGGAGCATTAAAAAATTACCCTTGATAAGGAATGACTGTTACTTATAGTCATTTAAATTTTTTAAAAACTCAGTACATTGGATAAATTCTATCCTATATGTTGTAGTCAAAGAAAAAAATTATAAGTTGCAAGAATCAAAAACAAAGAGAAAAGAATATGAGAGATCAGTATGAGTCATAGAAAAAAAGTGAAAATTTCCTAAAAGATGAAGGAAATCCCTTAGCATCAAAAGACAAAGAAATGGGAAATAGGTTGGAAAGATAAGAGGATTAGTCTAGAAGGTCCAAATAGGCGTTACAGCAAGAACAAGCAACAAGTATAACTAATAAGACAGAAAATTAATAAGGATATACAAAATTTGAAAAACATTATCAATCAACTTGATCTATATAGGCTACCCAACAAATGCAGAATATACATTCTGAAATATTCTTTTCAAGTGCACATGGGATATTCTTCAAGATAGGCCATATTTTATACCTAAATTGATTCTCAATAAATTTAAGAGGATTGAAATCACATATAGTATGTTCTCTAACTACAGTAGAATTATATTAGAAATCAGAAACAAAAGGATAGTTGGAAAATTCCAGGTATTTGAAAATTTGACAACACTCTTATAAATAAACCCAGAATTTAAAAAAAAGGGGGGGGGACTAGAAAATGTTTTGACCTGAATGATAATAAAAACATATTAAAACTTGTGAAATGCAAGTAAAGTGGGCAATGAGGGTAATTTATATCTTCAATGCTTTTATATTAGAAAAGAAAAAAGATCTAAAACAGATGTTGGTGAACGTTTTCTATAAAGGGCCAAATAGTAAATATTTTAGGCTTTGAGGGCCATATAGCCTCTATGACACACACTCAGCTCTGTCTGCCTTGAGGCGTGAAATCAGGCGAATAAATGTGGCTATGTTCCAATAAAACTTTTATTTCTGAGAAATATCTGAATTTCATATAATTTCAGATGACATAAAATAATATTCTCTTTATCATTTTTTTCTACCACTAAAAATATAAAAACCATTCTTAGCTTACTAAAGATACCTTTAAAATATTTCATGGTAAAATGTTCATGACCTTGTGGTAAGACATAAAAAGCACAAACCATAGGGAAAAGCTTAATATATTTTACTTCATTAAATAGAAAAATAACCAAAAATAATTTAGAATTAAGGCAAAACAAACAAAAAAAAGGTCCATGTCAGGGAATTCCCTGGAGGTCCAGTGGTTAGTACTCCACTCTCGCTGACAAGGGCCCACATTCAATCCCTGGTTGGGAAACTTAAGAAATCATTAAGTCATGCAGTGTGGCCAAAGGAAAAAAAAAGCAAACCAAACAAAAAAAGGTCCATGTCAGACATTTTATACCACGTTAAATTCCAGATGGATGAAAGAGCCAAAAATTCAAACCATGAAAATACTCGGAGAAGCCATAAGAAAAAAAACAAATAACAAATATTTGTTTTTGTGACCCCATGGACTGCAGTACGCCAGGCTTCCTTCCCTGTCCATCAGCAACTCCTGGAGTTTGCTCAAACTCAGGTCCATCGAGTCAGTGATGCCATCCAACCATCTTATCCTCTGTCATCCCCTTCTCGTCCTGCCTTTAATCTTTCCCAGCATCAGAGTCTTTCCCAGTGAGTCAGTTCTTCCCATCAGGTGGCCAAAGTATTGGAACTTCAGCATCAGTCCTTCCAATGAATATTCAGGACTGATTTCCTTTAGGACTGACTGGTTGGATCTCCTTGCTGTACAAGGGACTCTCAAGAGTCTTCTCTAACACCACAGTTCAAAAGCATTAATTCTTTGGCACTCAGCTTTCTTTATGGTCCAACTCTCACCATCCATACATGACTACTGGAAAAACCATAGCTTTGACTAGACAGATCTTTGTCAGTAAATAATGTCTCTACTTTTTAATACACTGTCTAGGTTTGTTATAGCTTTTCTTCCAAGGAGCAAGCATCTTTTAATTTCATGGTTGCAGTCACCATTGGCAATGATTTTGGTGCCCAAGAAAATAAAGTCTCTTACTGTTTCCATTGTTTCCCCATCTTTTTGCCATGAAGTGATAGGACCGGATGCCATGATGTTCGTTTTTTGAATGTTAAGTTTTAAGCCAACGTTTTCACTCTCCTGTTTTACTTTCATCAAGAGACTCTTTAGTTCCTTTTTGCTTTCTGCCATAAGGGTGATGTCATCTGCATATCTGAGGTTATTGATATTTCTCCCAGCAATCTTGATTCCAGCTTGTGCTTCATCAAGCCTGCATTTTGCATGATGTACTCTGCATATAAATTAAATAAGCAGGGTGCTAATATACAGCCTTGACATACACCTTTTCCAATTTTGAACCAGTCCATTGTTCCATGTCCAGTTCTACCTGTTGCTTCTTGACCTGCATACAGGTTTCTCAGGAGGCAGGTAAAGTGGTCTGGTATTCCCATCTCTTTCAGAATTTTCCACAGTAAACAGTCACAAATAAGAAAAGTCTATAATTCAGTAGAAAAATGAGCAAAGGATATGAACAGACAGTTCACTAGAAAGGAAATACAGATGTTTCATGCTGGTATCTTGTAATGAAATGATATACAAACTGATAATAAGAAATATGACATTAAAAGTACATAAAACACTATTTGTCTCCTGTCAGATTGGCAAAACCAAAAAGTTTGAGAACACTGTATTGCCAAAGGGAAAGAATAACAGGTGTTCTCATGCACTAATGGGTTTCTAAATCAGTACATCCTCTTTGAGGACAAACTGGAAGTATGTATGAAAAATCCAAATCCAAATACTCTGTGAGTAGCAGTTTTACTTATAGGAATTTACCTTACAGATATATTCTATAATATGTAACATAAAGCATGTGTACAAGATTGTTATTCAGCATTATTTGTAGTAGCGGAAGAGTGAAGCAACCCAAATGTCCATCAACAGGGAAGTGGTCAAATCAATGATGGTACAGTTTGAAATCATGCATATGCAGCCATTGAAAAGAATGAAATAGTTCTATGTGTGATCATATAGAATGATCCAAAATATGGTTACATGGGAAATGTGCATAATATTGGTGTCCACTGCTACCATCTGAGGAAGAATATATAAACATATTTGCTTATAAATATATAAAATGCCTCTGGAGGAATACATGGATATCCATGGATGTTTCTGAGTAGGGGACCTGAAAAGCTGAAGAATAGTGACAGGAAGAACACTTCATTTTATCTTGGGGTTTGTTTGCTTTTTTTTTTTTTTTGGCTACCTTTTAAATTTTGGAATGTGACTTATTTATTCAAAACTATTTTAAAATAAAATGAACATGTCAGGAATGCTCATTATGATGTCATTTATAGTGAAAATGTGCAAGAAACATCTAAATTTCCATCAGTAGGATGTATAAATTGCGGTTGAGTCATGCAGTGACATACTTGAGCACCATTAAAACAAATGGGTTAAGCTCTTCATGTCAACATTGATATATCTTAAATTTTTAATGTTAAGTGAGAGAGGTAAGTTATACAACCAGCATGATCCCATCATTGGCAGGTTTGAAAATACAGTAAACAGTGCTTTTCAGCTATATTTTGTTCTTTAAAATAGAAATTTGTTGCAAGTATAGCATAAAATCTTATAAATCCATTGAGCTGCTACATGGGCACATGAGCTTTTTAAGTTAACCTTTGTATTTTTTAGTGTATTTGAAATGCTGCATAGTTTTTTTTTAAAGTTAGGAAAATGTACCTTAACTGGACCGTGGAATCTTTGCAAACGTTCCCCATCCTAAGGGCCCCTGGTAGTGTTGTAGGCAGTTCCCATGGAACTATTCCAGCCTAATGCTGTTAGGCCTGTTGGGACATAGAGCACCCCCTAAACCCTTCTACAGGAGCTAGAATGCTATTCAGACAGAAAATATTCTTCACAGTGGCCAACAGAGTTTCTTTTGTGTATATCTGAGTCTTCTTGTCTTTCAGGGATGTTAGTGGTGAATGTAACATGGAGGAACAAGACTTATGTAGGTACACTTCTTGACTGCACACGGCATGATTGGGCACCCCCAAGGTAAGCATGCTACAGCTTTTTGTCTATGTTGGCTTGAACCACCCTTATCAATGATCCCTCATACCTAGATAAAGGTATAATAAAGATAATGTTAGAGTTGGATAGCTTTTAAAGGACACTCAGCTTTTAAAAGACAGTATGGTATAAAAACAAGGGAACACATCATATTCATCTAGCATTCAAGAAGAAGAAATCAGTTAGGTGTTGGTTTGGGTAGGAATGGTGATGAGATCCTGTTTAAGCCTTTATCTAGAATGACTGAATTCTGGCTTCTACCTAAAGTCACCTCGAGACCAAGGTCAGAATCTGACTGTGGGTAAACAAGCATTCGTCGATGATGTTTTTTGATAGTAGCTATCTCTCAGAAGTTAAAACTCAAGGACATTTTCAGTTTCATAAACTCCATTAGACAATCTGGATTTCACAAAGACCTTTCAAGTTTCAGTTGGCCATAAGACTGATATTTCAGTGAATTTCATCTTACAGCTAGTTCCTAGTATTAATTTCCTGTTCATCAGGGTTGGGGGAACCCAAATCTTTGGGAATAATTTATAGCTAGCATGCAGGTAACATCCTAGAAGCTCACCAGTAATGCAGTTGGCCTGTTTTCAGAAGTTTCTTTAACAAATAATATTCACTGAAAATGATAGTTACCATCTGGACAGTTCTTTTGGAGGCTGCAGCTACCCTGGTTTGAAGGTAGCTTCTTTTCTTAATAATATCTTGTTGTGTTTGTCATTTGCCAAGGTTCTGTGACTCTCCCACCAGTGACTTGGAAATGCGCAATGGTCGGGGTAGAGGCAAACGCATGCGTCCCAACAGTAACACGCCTGTCAATGAGACAGCCACAGCCTCCGACAGCAAAGGGACCAGCAGCAACAGCAAAACCCGAGCAGGAGCCAATAGCAAAGGCCGTCGGGGCAGCCAGAATTCTTCAGAACATCGCCCGCCTGCCAGTAGCACCTCTGAGGATGTCAAGGCCAGCCCTTCCTCAGCTAATAAGCGGAAAAACAAACCCCTTTCAGACATGGAGCTGAATTCTAGCTCAGAGGACTCCAAAGGGAGCAAACGTGTCCGTACAAATTCCATGGGCTCAGCCACTGGCCCCCTCCCTGGGACCAAGGTGGAACCCACTGTTCTAGACAGAAATTGTCCTTCCCCAGTCCTGATTGATTGTCCCCACCCAAACTGCAACAAAAAGTACAAGCACATCAACGGACTTAAGTACCACCAAGCTCATGCCCATACAGATGATGACAGCAAGCCAGAAGCAGACGGAGACAGTGAGTACGGAGAGGAGCCCACCCTCCATGCAGATCTCGGGAGCTGCAATGGCGCATCTGTCTCACAGAAGGGTTCCCTGTCCCCTGCCCGCTCAGCTACCCCCAAAGTTCGGCTCGTGGAGCCCCATAGCCCTTCTCCTTCAAGCAAATTCAGCACAAAAGGCCTCTGTAAGAAAAAGTTGAGTGGGGAAGGGGACACAGATCTCGGGGCCTTATCCAATGATGGCTCTGATGATGGACCCTCAGTAATGGATGAAACAAGCAATGATGCTTTTGATTCTTTGGAAAGGAAGTGTATGGAAAAGGAAAAATGTAAAAAGCCCTCTAGTTTGAAACCTGAAAAGATTACTTCCAAAAGTTTAAAGTCAGCCCGGCCCATTGCCCCTGCCATTCCCCCACAGCAAATTTATACCTTCCAGACAGCCACCTTCACGGCAGCAAGCCCAGGCTCCTCCTCAGGCTTGACCACCACCGTGGTCCAGGCCATGCCCAACAGTCCCCAGCTGAAGCCCATTCAGCCCAAGCCCACTGTGATGGGAGAACCTTTTACAGTCAACCCTGCCTTGACTCCAGCCAAGGACAAGAAAAAGAAAGAGAAAAAAAAGAAGGAATCTTCAAAGGAACTTGAAAGTCCTCTGACCCCTGGGAAGGTATGTCGAGCAGAAGAAGGCAAAAGCCCATTCAGGGAGTCATCGGGAGATGGGATGAAGATGGAGGGCCTCCTGAATGGCTCCTCAGACCCCCACCAGAGCCGACTGGCCAGCATCAAGGCAGAAGCTGACAAGATCTACAGTTTCACAGACAATGCTCCCAGCCCTTCAATTGGAGGCAGTAGCCGCATAGATAGCACTACCCCTACCCAGCCCATGACCCCGTTACACGTAGTGACCCAGAACGGAGCTGAAGCCAGCTCAGTCAAAACCAACAGCCCTGCATACTCTGACATTTCTGATGCTGGGGAGGATGGAGAGGGTAAAGTGGACAGTGTCAAATCCAAGGACCCCGAGCAGCTGGTCAAGGAAGGGGCCAAGAAAACTCTTTTCCCCCCTCAGCCACAGAGCAAAGACTCACCATATTACCAAGGCTTTGAAAGTTACTACTCTCCAAGCTATGCACAGTCCAGCCCAGGGGCTCTGAACCCCAGCAGCCAGGCAGGAGTGGAGAGCCAGGCTCTGAAGACAAAAAAGGATGAGGAACCTGAGAGCATAGAGGGAAAAGTGAAGAACGATGTCTGTGAGGAAAAGAAGCCGGAGCTGAGCAGTTCCAGCCAGCAGCCCTCCGTCATCCAGCAGCGTCCCAACATGTACATGCAGTCCCTGTACTACAACCAGTATGCCTACGTGCCCCCCTACGGCTACAGCGACCAGAGCTACCACACCCACCTCCTGAGCACCAACTCCGCTTACCGACAGCAGTACGAAGAGCAGCAGAAACGGCAGAGCTTGGAGCAGCAGCAGCGAGGACTGGACAAGAAGGCCGAGATGGGCCTGAAGGAGCGGGAGGCAGCACTTAAGGAAGACTGGAAGCAAAAGCCGTCAATTCCACCAACTCTCACCAAGGCCCCCAGCCTCACGGACCTGGTAAAGTCAGGACCCGGCAAGGCGAAGGAGCCAGGGGCGGATCCTGCCAAGTCAGTCATTATTCCCAAGTTAGATGACTCTTCCAAACTCCCCAGCCAGGCCCCAGAAGGACTTAAAGTAAAGCTGAGTGAGGCCAGCCACCTAGGCAAGGAGGCTTCTGAGGCCAAGACAGGTGCCGACTGTGGCCGACAGGCAGAGGTGGATCCAATACTCTGGTACCGACAGGTAACTGTTCTGGAAGAAAATGGAAATACTGTTGGATAGTCTTTCTCTCTTCCTCATAAATCAGAGCCGTCCTTATGTAGGGAATCAACATAGTATGGATAGCAGGAGAAGTCTATAATGTTAGGGATTCTTTTCCTTTGTAAATCATTTTAATGTTTTTTTAAAAGCACTTTTCACACCAGTGAAAGAGGTTTTTCCCATTTAACAAGAGAGGCCCAGGTAAGTTAGCTTGATTTGTCTGGAGGTACTCAAGACTTCACCAGCAGAACCAGAACTGGAACCGGGTACCTAGTGATGCCTAAATGTGTCTTATCCACTGTGTGGTTCCCACGGAATGAAGAAAGGTGGTCTCTCCAGTTTTTAAAGTAGGCGGAAGCACCCTTCTCAGACTGAATTACTCTCAAAAAGGTTTTATAGGCAGAGTTAGAACTAAGAGCTTGGTCTTACTTGTTTCTCTATTCATGAGGCTTAGGAAGGCCCCCTCTTTGTGCCGCAGTTAGCGCACCCTCCTCTGAGTGGAGCAGCCTCTACAGCTCTCTGCCCCCAAACTTGCTCTGAAGAAGGGAAACCACCTAAATATCCTTGGAACGGGAACAGCTTCTTCCAGTCACTTCCCTCAAATGCTTGTTTTCTCATAGAGAAGACCCATCAGTGGATTTTCCCTCTCTTTCCCCACAATTTATATCCTTTTGTTGGGGGGAGGGGACAGGCATTTAAGCAGGAGGGACCATAGTTGATTTTGAACAAAGGTCAGTAGAGGCCCAGATCCCGCAGTGCCCCAGGTGTCTGGTATTATCTGCTCTGCTCTGGTGTTTCTACTGGGACCTTGGAGTTGAAATCTCTCTCTCTTTTATCTGTACAACACTCACGTCATTCTGTGATTGTTGCAGGAAGCAGAGCCCCGGATGTGGACGTATGTCTATCCTGCCAAGTACTCGGACATCAAGTCAGAGGATGAGAGGTGGAAAGAGGAGCGGGACCGCAAACTGAAGGAGGAAAGGAGTCGGAGTAAGGACTCTGTTCCCAAGGAGGATGGGAAGGAAAGCACAAGTAGTGACTGCAAGCTGCCCACATCAGAGGAATCCCGCCTTGGGAGCAAGGAGCCCCGACCCAGTGTCCACGTGCCTGTGTCCTCCCCCCTCACCCAGCACCAGTCCTACATCCCCTACATGCACGGCTACTCCTACAGCCAGTCCTATGACCCCAGCCACCCCAGCTACCGTGGCATGCCTGCCGTGATGATGCAGAACTACCCAGGTACGGTACCGCACTCCAGCTGCTGCTCCGCTCACTGGGAAGGGAAACAAAGCAGATTTCAAATCCAGTTTTCTTGCTAAGGCTACTGAGGCTCAGGTAGATGGTAACTCTGATGTGAATGTGGTCTAACCCTGAGCTCCTTGAGTGACCCCTGCTTACAGTCTGTGGGACCACTCCTTCCTCCCTTGCACCAGGTGAAGGGTTGACTCTGCAGTCAGTTTTTATGGATAACTGAAGGCGAAACCCGATCTACCAGAGGCATCTTCCCTCAGCTGGGATTTTTCCAAACACATACTTTAAGGACTTAACCACTGGCGGTCCAGCTGTTAAGACTCTGCTTCCACTGCAGGGGGTGTGGGTTCGATCTTGGTCAGGGAACTAAGATGCCTTGGGGTGTGGCCAAAAGAAAACCACATACTCTATATTTTGCAGCGTGCTAGACACTGGGGGAAATATAAAAGAAATAGAGAAGACTACTTCAGTCCCCTCAAGGAGCTCACAACTTAATTGCAGCAGGAGAGACACGTGGAACAAAGTAAAATTCACATCAGGAGAATGAATGTTTTCATCAGCAAGATCATGTTTAGCATAAAGTCATCAGGCAGTCATGGAGGGGAGGCCCAGTGAGGGGAAGGTTCAGTTTGGAAAAGATAAGCTCTTATACTGCCATGGAGTATAAAAGGGGGGGAGGGCAACACGGGGGGAGGGCAACACAGAGTAGGCGTTTAAGTGTTTTTGGACTAGTCAGAAGAAAATGCTACCTTTACTCACTGATCTCTGTTGCCTAAAGAGCCCTTCTTTCACTTTCTGGAGCTCCCACCTCACTGTAGAAAAGCAGCTCAAACAGTCTTGATATTGATGTTTTAAGGCAGATTCTAAGTAGGACATGTGAGCTTTTCAAACAGAAATAGGAAATTGTCTCTTCCCACAGTATTCCTTTCTCCTGTTACCCCAGTCCTTCTGTATAAAAACAGTAGTTCCATTTGATGAGTACTTGCTCTAGGCCAGGCACTGGACTAGGTGATTCATGTACATTATCTCATTTAATCCTCTCTGTCACCCTATGGAATCAGTATTAGTATCTTCATTTTGATGGTCAAGAAGTTGAACCTCAAAGGGTTAATTCAGATTAGCTCAAGCTAATGAACTTGTTCATTTTTTCAGAGGTACCCAACAGGTAAGTCTCAGAGGTCAGATTTGAGCCCAAGGACATGACTTCAAATCCAACAGCCTTTCTAATCCTATGACTGTAGCACCTCTTGGAGATGAATCTGAGACTGGGGCTCTAAGGGAGTTGATTCCCCAGAAACTGAGGGCCATGTTCTTAACATCCCTTAGCTGTTTGCCTCCAGAGGTCAGTAAAGGAAGGACACGCTAAGAGTCTCAGCCTGAAGACACTGTGGTGGAACACCCCTCAGCCTGAGCCTCACCAGGCTCACTGAAGCAGAATCTCTCCTGACTCTCCCATCTCTCTGACTGCTTTATTTCTCTCTCCCAGGTTCCTATCTGCCTTCCAGCTATTCTTTCTCCCCATATGGCAGCAAGGTCTCGGGGGGTGAAGATGCTGACAAGGCCCGAGCTAGCCCCAGTGTCAGTTGTAAATCCAGCTCAGAGTCTAAAGCCCTGGACATCTTGCAGCAGCATGCCAGTCACTACAAGAGCAAGTCTCCCACGGTAAGGAACACGCAGAGACACTGGCCATTGTCAGAGACCAGGACGGGCAGAGCCAGGGTCTGGGAGAAGGTGGGTTGGCTCGAGTCCCAATAACAGTGTGGTGTGGCCGGCCTGACCTGAGCTCCCCCAGGCACCTCCTTGATTCTTGGGTGTCCTGCATCTCTAAGGAGTCAAAGTGTGGGCTTGGGGCATCTTGCTTTCACGTGTGTGCCTCACAGTAGAGCTTTTGTGTCTGCTTTCCTTTCCAGATAAGTGATAAAACTTCTCAGGAGAGAGATCGGGGAGGCTGTGGGGTGGTTGGGGGTGGTGGCAGCTGTAGCAGCGTCGGGGGAGCAGGCGGGGGTGAAAGGAGTGTTGACCGGCCCCGCACCTCCCCTTCTCAGCGCCTGATGTCCACGCACCACCATCACCACCACCTGGGGTACTCACTGCTCCCAGCACAGTACAACTTACCCTACGCAGCAGGTAAGCCTCGTCTCCCCGCTGCCATCCAGTAGCACTGCCATAGCAGGGGGCCCCTGGCAGGAAGCCCCTCCTCCTCTTCTTACCCTTGAGCCTCCAATCTGTCCAGAATCCTAGCCTCCTGCAGACAATCAGTATAATCATAACATTTATTTCCTCCCTTGGAGCTCAGGGATTCTCAAACTCCTCCAGAAAATTGACTTTGATATTCAGAAGAATAAGGAGCAGGTGTTCCCACAGCCAAAGAGTAACAAGCAACTGAAAAACAGAGCCTGTCTGTCTATCCCCAGCTGCTATATCTGGCCAAGTATCAGATTTTCTTCTGTAAGCACCCCAAAACTCAGTGGAGCTAGGCATTGAAGAAACTCGTGCCAGCACCCACCCAGCTGGCAGAGAGCGAGCGCTGCACTAACTTGTCCTCCTCCTCACTCAGGGCTTTCCTCTACAGCCATTGTTGCCAGCCAGCAAGGCTCGACTCCTTCACTCTACCCACCCCCCCGGAGGTGAGAATGGTGAGTAACTTTTAACTCAGCACAGAGAGCAGGGATAGTTGATACCTGGGTCACAGAATCCCTGTGGAGTCTCAGTGAAGGACATCTCTGGGCTGCGGTCTGGAAATGGAGCAACCCTGACCAAGCCTCTTGTATAAGTTTCCCGGGGAACCTCTGAGAGGGACCACACGCCTCCCCTAGGGACCAGGACTGGCCTCCCCTGCAGTTCATTTTCTTGGAGCGCCACCTTGTGGTGGTTTTACCAGCCGGTTGAGCACCCGGTTCTCTGTCCATGTTTCCCTTGCAGAACACCAAGTGCCCGGATAAAGTCAGCTTCACGGGCCCGGACTGGCTTACCCAAGGAGGTGCTGGAGGTGCTGTTTAGACATCAGTTAAATGGTGTTGATCATCCTGTTTGCCGTTCCCACCATGACTGAAGGCAGATCCTTGGCTATCTCGCCTCCACCAGACCCCCGGACTCCCCGACCCTCCCTCTTCCTCAGGAGCTGGAGAGCTGGTACTTAGCAAAAGTATTTATTCTCTTGGCCACGGCCGTGACTGTTGTGGCCTCTGTGGAGATGAAGGCACGGGGAGCAACCAGGGGAACATGGCCTCAGCCCAGAGAAGTTACTGCTCTGTTCCCCAAGCCATGGTCAGCTGCCAGAGCAGTACCAACCCCCCAGGGAGGGCCCCCCAAGCACTGGGTAAGGTCTGAAGACAGCACAGCAGCCATACCCCTTTCACCATCATTACCACCATCACCAGACCCTGCATCTCCCCAGTGGTTTGGGCCCTGGGAACTGGCAGCACGTGGAGGAATTAGAATCTCAGGAAAGAAATTGGGGGCTGTTTTCTCTGCAGTTGTGAAAACAAGGTCTTCAAACGTGAAGACTTCTCCCCTCTCACATGAGCACATGTAAATGCTCAGAGCCCAGCCTGGAAAGGGAGACCAAGGCATCTGCCCACTGTGGCCTTGGGCTGCCTGTCAGGCAGAGGGCCGGGGCCCCGAGGCCAGCATCGGGCTCCTTGGGGATTCCAGGCAAGAGCTGGAGCACGAACGGAGTCTGTGAACGAGACGCTGCATCCCACCAAGTCCTGCTGCCGCTTAGCCTCCCCCTTGCCCTTTCCTCATCTCCCTCCCGACCCCTTGGTGCCTTTTCCAGGGGAATCTCATCTCTCTTCTTTTCCACTGCTTGGCTTTTAAGACTCAGGCAGGTAAAATTCCCCCAGCATGGGGAGCTTTGGAGTCTGCCAGGAGGCAGGCCCTGGGAGCGCCTAGCCCTCTGAGAGATGTCCTGTCCAAGCAGCCATCCAAGTGTCGGCCTCATCAAGGGGTCCAGTTCTGTCCAGCCCAGTTTCTCTGTACACAACCACATGACTTCCTATAGCTCAACCTGTAGCCCCATGCGTGCCAACAGGAGCCGTGTTTCTTTGTAACTCACGTTTTTGTTTTAGGGAACACTGCACCTTGGAGGGCGTCTGTCTGTTCCTTAGACCCTAGGACAACACGTGCAAGCCATTACTCCTCAGAGCCGCCAGGCGTAGTCAGTGGAGCTGTGCTCTGAGGCAGACACAGTTCTCTGCTCTCCTTAGAAATGCAGTCCAGTCCAGGCTTTATGCTCTTTGTCCTGGGAAAGTGACAATGATCTGGTAGCTTTACTACAGTCACTTCTTCCCCAAGGTGTGGAGAGCTTTAGCTCTTACTTTGAGATATCATCCCTTTGTCCTCCTCCTCTCCTGTCTTTCCTTGACCCTCTGGATTGAGAGATGAAGACTGACAGACACCAAGCTAGGTTAGAGACGAGTCTTTGTGACCAGAGTGCCAAAATGACCATTTAAGAGCAGGGACTTGGCTCTGACAGTGTGGGGCATGGAGATGGAAGACAGTAAGCACAACGCCCAGCAGAGGCTGCTTTCCGAGATCCCCGGAGGAGCCCCATTCTAGAGAGGCGTAGGGTCTTTTGCCCAAGAGGAGCCCCTCTAATCCATAGACCTTTCCTCTAGGTTCCCATGTCCTTGTTTTTGTTCAAGTTGGGTTCTGAGCCCTCTCCCAAACCCTGCTGATTTAGACCTCCTAGCAGGCCCTTGAGCAGCCTCCCTGTCCCCTTCAGTCCTTCTGCCCCCCGCTGTCCTTTCGGGAGTGCTCTGAGCAGTGACTTCCCTCTTACCCACGGAAGTCGTCAGTGTGGACACCTTCACCCCACCTCACCTGAGTCGTCCCCACCCAAAGGATGGCTCTGAATTTCAGCCTGCTCATGCCCTCCCGGCTCCTGTTGGGTGGAGTCATGGGCCCATCTCTGTTCCTGTTTGTTTTTAAATATTGTGTGTTTTGTATCTGTGGCGCTGCCTTACAGCGTGCTCTGTACATATTGTGAAGAAACCGTTTGGAGTAATTTTCTTTTCCGTTGGGTAGGCATAGCCCAGGATTCCTGCCCTTTCCACTTCGTTCTGTAACAGAGACGAGGAACTTCTGTGTTAGCAGGACAGCCTTGGGTTCTGCAGAAGGGAACAGCTTTTTTTCTTTTTTTCTCCCCCTTAAAAAACATTTGGCTTTTTGACCCTTATATCCTGAAAAGCAGGAGCTGAGCTGCCCAGAAGAGCAGGTGAGAGCATCGATGGCAGAACAGCACTGCCTTTTCCTGATCCTTCTGGTCCCTGATCCTTGCCAGGCCTGTCGTCCCTCCCTGAGGTGACATGAAGCAGCAGCAGTGACGGGTGAAACAGCCTTGAGGAGCACTGAGTGAAGGGTTTGCTGTCCGCCTCTAGCCTCTCTCCCTGGGGAGGAGGACCACAGGTGGGGACCCGTGGCACTGGCAACCCAGTCATAGGGATGAGACTCTCAAGGATCCCCACCCCACTTCACCCCAGCAAAGGCTGGACGAGTTTGCTGCTAACGGCCAAGGTCACCAGACCAAGGCTCTCTCTGAGCTCTCCCTGGCCCAGTTCTCTTAACAGACACGGCTCATCTGAGCCCCACAGAGAAGCTGGCGGGAGGCAGCCTCGTGCCCAAGTAGGACAGCCAAGGCTTGGAGACCTGCTCTCTAGGACTCACATCTGCTTCCTCCTCATTTAAGTTGTGCCAGTTCCCTTCATCCCCTTTCCCTGCCTGTACATGTATGTATACATGTATATTTCCTTCTCTTACCTCACCCCCTCCACACATCTCAAGGTCAACGGACCATATGCAGAAGGCTTAAGAGGGCACCCATGAAATGAAATGATGCTTCTTGAATCTCTTCTCTCCAGGCTCCAAGGTGGGGGTGGGAGGGCTTGGTCTTGGGAGCGGGAGGAAAAGGCTACAGAAGGGCTAGTGTCATTGTATACAGGCCACTTGTTATCCCACACACCTTACCACCATCTCAAGTGTCTATTCTGATGCCCCCAAGATTCAACTGGGCAGCTAGCTGGCCCCCTAATTCTGGGCCTTCGTTATTTGTTTTATTATTAGGGCATCCCAGGAAGCTTTCTGCTGATCCTCTGCCATGGGCCCCTCCTGGGATCGAGCCCTTCCCAGGCCCTGTCCCCAGCCCCTCCTGCCCCAGCCCACCCGCTTGCCTTGGTGCTCAGCCCCCCATTGGGAGCAGGTTGGGGCGAGCTGGAGGCCCGGGCTGGAGGGGCAGTGTTGCTGTTCATAGCTTTTGTTCCATTGGCGTTGCTCTGTTGAATTTAATTTCAGTCTTCCTGATTCTTCCCTTCTGTAAAGTGTACATTACCAAGTTCCTTGTTTTTTTATATATATATATAAATATATATATATACAAACTGTACTCTTTTTGCCTTTGTACATTCAGGCAAGAAGAGAAAATAAATCTTTTTAAGAGACAATCACAAATCTGTGAGGGCTGCTGGTTATTTCTCCTGGAGTCTGCTGCTGAGCTGCCTCTCTCTCCTCCTCACTCTTCCGTCCTCCCTCAGCTCTCCTAATCTTCCGGTCCTGCTCCATACACATCCTCAGCTCCACCTTCCCTGGCTGATGGCATGCTGTTGAGTCCCGTGTCCAGCCTACATACCCTGCAGCCCTTCCCTGGCCTGGCTGCAGGCTTACCCAGGAGCTTTATCCTGGGCCCTGGCTTCTCCTGTCACCCGGTGCCAACCACCTCCCACCGCCCCGCCCCGCCCTGCCCTGCCCCATAGATCCCATTCACCAAAGTGGCTTTGGACACTCACCAGTGAGTGGCTTTCACACTGGCTGTGAAACTATGCAGCTGGGAGCTCTCTAAGAGTTTGCACTACTTAAACCTGCCGGGGAGTTAGATGAATTTTAGGAACCAGTGGGAAACTGAACACTCCCCTAGATGCTAGTCGCCAGAGTTGCTCTGCCAAGAGCGCAGAGCAGAGTGCTTGGCGGGTGGACTCCTGTGGCTAACAGAACAAGGGCTATGGGCTTATGGGTCAAGAGCATTTGATCAGAATTTCAAAGGGCGGTACATTCAGAAAGGCAGCCCAACCAAACCATTGTTCCACCTCTTGAACTTTCTCCCTTCCCTCTAATTTCCTCCTCCTCCCCTTTTTTCCCTTTCTCTCTACTTCCTTTTCTTAATTGGCTTTGGAACTGAAGTATATTTTTAAATTATTTGTTGTATTTATTGAATAAAGTTTGTAATGTCCCTGTTCTTAAATTTAGACTTAGTTTGCCTTTCACATATCTCCCCTTCCAACTCAACCCTCCCACTCCCAAGATATTTCACCTTCTAGTTGTTTTAATTGGAGCGCAGAATTTGGATACCGTATTTCTGTCCTGCCACTGGTCTCATCTAGCAAAAGTTTTTTATTTTTGAAAGAGAAATAAACCTGAACTGAGTGCCCAGGTTTCCAATTCAGCCTAACTCTGGTTGTGTTAAAGAAGATGTACCAGCAGATGGCAGCAAAGTCCCAGGTATGTTTCCGGTCCACTCTGCTAGCTTTGCAAACAGAAAACTGTTTTTCCTGGTTCTTTATCCCTGTCTTGTAGATTCCTTGGGTTTCAATTTAGCATTCGATCTGAATCCTAAACTGCCTACATTAACTTGGCCATTGTCAGCAGTCACATAGATTCCCATTGTAAATATCTCACTTGTAATGACTTTACAAGTGACTTGTAAAGTCATTCTTCAGACTTTATGTTATTTCTAGGGATTATCTGCTCAGCGGAAGACATTTTCTAAGTCCTTCACATTTCAGTTGAATTCATCTCTAGTCCCAGACTTTTTTTTTGGCTGTACTGCATGGCATGTGGGATCAGATCCCTGACCACAGATTGAACCCATGCCCACTGGCAGTGGGAGTGCAGATTCCTAACCACTGAACCACCAGGGAAATCCCTAGGCCCAGACTTTCTCTACTAATACCACATGGGATGGAGGTGTTGAACTCACTTCTTTTCATAAATGTTACATAGGGCCCAAGGTTAATGACTTGGTCCAGTATGAAAACACAAGCTCAACACAGAACAATGTGAAATGCACCAAAAACTCAGAAAGAAAATAAGGACAGCCACAGTTCAACAGTAAGTAAATAGTTCTAAAGTCGTAGGAGGTGGAAGAACATGCCCAGTACTTCATTTGGGAAAACAGAAGCAAAAGGGGGAAAAAAAAAAAAAACTAGTAAACCCTTGAGAAACTAAGACAACATAGGTGAAGAGGATTCTATCCCCCTCCAGTGCCACTGAGAGCTGATTCAGCAGGCTGGTGGTACCAGGGAAGGGCATCCGTGCCTTAGGGCACTGGGCTCCAAAAGGAGAATACTGTCTTCCTAGGGAAGGTGAGTTCCACTTCCTTCAGACACCCCCCAGGAACAGGAATGTCAGGCAGCTTTGTGTGAAAGCCAGAACCCAGTTTCAGGACCTGGTCTTCTAGACAAAAAAGAAGTCGGGTCCTGGTATGTCTAGCCTCTATTCTAGATGAAGCTCTGTGTACATACCTGTCTCTAGGGGGCTCCAGCATTTTGTCCCAGACTCCTAGCAACCCCTTGCTTCGCGTAGTAATGTGGCCCCAGAGACCTCAGCCGTTTGTCCTGATGCAAAGCGGCTTTTTTCCTGAGAAGCGTGTATCACATCCCTGCTGGGCTGGGCTCTAGATTCAAAAGACAGCAGTAGAAGGAAGCCGGCCCTGGTTGAGGAGTAAAAGACAGACCAACCACAACTTTAAATCAGTTTATTGACACACTAACACAACACACTTGCCTGCCTGACACCCCCGCCCCCTCACCCAGTCGAGATCTCTCCCACTTCTACCCCCTCAATCCCACAGGAGAGCCCCGTACAACAGGGGCTCAGGCACTACTCAGAACCTGCTGGGGTGGGGGTCGGGGTGCAGTTAGCACTAGACTCAGCCAGGCAGAGGCATCCAGTCCCAAACAGCAATTCCCGCACAACCCCCAGGCCCTGAGTTGCTATTCCTCTTCCTCTCTGCTGTTTGTGACCCTAGGAAGGAGACCCTTGAGGCCTAGGCCTGCAGCCCAGAGCAAGAACTCCTGGCCGTAATCTGACAACTAGAGTTTGGCTAGTGTTTTTTAAGACCCAGGCACCCCCAAAATAAAGCCCTGGTGGTAGGAGTAAACTTCAGTGCCCCTATTTTGAATGCACTGATAACAGATTAAGCCAGCTTAACCAAATGCCAGAATAACACTAAGCTGTAAAGGCGGGGTCAGACCTGCTTTCTCCAGGCCAGATACAAATGCACAGAGAGAAGCCCAGGTGGGGTGTCAAAAACAACAGAAGGACACTGCCCAGGGGTGAAAAGCCTATACCCCAGAGTCCCCTGGGTGACAGGAAGCAAGGAAAGAAAATATACAAGTCTTAAAAACCAAAAAAAGAAAGCCCAACAGCAGGGTAACCTGAGCCTGACAGTGCTGTCCCCAGCCCTCCAGGCCTGGCCCCTGGACGCAGACAGTCCCTCCCCTCTAGGCAATGTCCTCCCCTAGGCTAGATAGAGCACATCACACAGCGCAGTTTAAAAAGCTTCTAATGCCAGTTCATAAACATCTTCATTTACTATTGGTGATTACATGTGAATAATATGTTTATACTGTTCTTTATGGAAAACAATTTCAACGACTCAACTCCGAGAACACAATAGGCAACCCTCACCCTGAGCCCCTCAGCGTCCTTCCCTGGACAGCAAGAAGCCCCCTCCTCTGTCTCAGGGTTGCCTAACTTCCCCGCTTCCCCCACTGTGGCTCTTGGGCAAAGCATCTCTTTGACCATTAGTCCTCATCGGACAAGTTCTGGTCCAGGGGGTAAACCATGAACATCACATCTGGTCGAGAGGGGACACAGGGATGGCCTGGACGCACAATCTCAAAGCCCAAGAAGCTGAAGGTCTTCAGGAGTGGAGCTGCAGAAAAGAGTGTAAAAAAAGATTCTGATATGAAACAAAGGTAGGCTAAATCAAGGGAAAACCCAAAACAAAGAATAAATGCACTGGCCTTTCCTAAATTTGAACACAACCAATCCCACGATTTCCTAGGGTTTATATATCAAAGTCGGGAGCCCTACCTCATTAGGAGCCCCCCCACCCTTTCCCTCCCCAGCCTGGTCTCAAGCTGCTCAGCCCCTCACCTCTGTCTTCCCGGCCCTTCCTGAAGCAGATGAAGACGTAGTTCACTTTCATCTTCTCTTCAGCAAACTCTAGCAGTGCTAACAATCTGCAGGAAGCAAAGAAAACCACTCAAGCCCACTGCCACCTGTGGACTTTACCCCACCCCTCTATACCCCCTGCTCCCAAGGCTTTTCTGAGGCTTATAGTCAGCACTGAAAATAGGGAAGCTTCAAGGAAACTTCCTATTTCAAGACCTCAGAAGCCCTGAGTTCAGAAAAAAAAAAAAAAAAACCACAATCACTAAGAAAACTGTTTCAGAATTCTCTCTTCCAGGAATAAAGGTTCTTTGTCTGAAATTAATACTAGCCAACTTAATGCAATTTACGAGAAAGTATGGGGCGTGGGAAGAGAACCCAGTTTCTCAGGGGCCCGTCAAAGTTGCCAAGTTTGATGGTGACCACCTGTTGCGGAGAGGAACCCTGGGCCCTACTACCACCTCAAAGTCCTTCAAGAGGCTGGAGCCACTTGCGAGAACGCCATCCTCAGGACTGTTTCTTCCACAACTAGGTGCTTGGAGGGCCTTGCCCAATCCAATGAAATTCCACTGCTGCTTTGAGCTTCTGGCTGTTTAAACCACACCATTATATGACAGGGATTTGGTTATAAGTGGTAATGATCTGCTTTCATTATCATAGGCCCATTTTACTGGCTAAAACTAACCTTTAAAAAAAAGGTATATACTTGGGCAGCTGAGAGCTAGGGGAGAAGGCTGGCCATCTGCTGCCCCCAGGAAGCAAACGCCCCTCTCTGAAGCGGGCTTCCAGCCCTTGCCTGGCACTTGCTCCTTACCCTTCTTTGCTCCCATCAGCTAATAATCCATCTGGAATTTCTACAAACAGGCTCTGGCTGGACAGGACTGCATCCCAGGAAGAGACCTTCACCTCGGTGACCTCATACTGGAAGTGGACGATGTGAGGCTTTCCATCATTCACAGGGAGGTCCTGGGTCACAGTGAGCTTCTCGTCCTGGGAGGAGATCAGGTCAGATAGCCAGGTCACTACTGCTTCTGGCCACATCAAAGGCTCCCCAACCTAGGTGGTGCTGGGAGCCCTCCTGGGCCAACCTCACAGTAGCATGGGACAGGGCACACTGGAACATCAGAGCAACATTCTGCCTAAATGGAGCCATCACTCACTGGGTGTGAGACCAGTTGGTGGTGGCTAAATGCCAGCATGATTGGAAGGGAATATCTACCAAGAGCCCACTGGCTGTCAAGTACTGTACAAGGTAATTTCCCATTGTTCCATCACTACAACAAGCACTTGAGGTAGGCATCAGCATCCCCACTTTAAACCTAAGATACCAGCGGCCCAGTAGAATTAAGCACCTGACCCAAGACTCCACAGTGAGTAAACAGCAGAGCTGAGATTCAGATGGGGTCTCCCTAATTGAAAGTCATGCTTGTCCCCCCAATATTGTGTTATTTCCCTTCCCTCTGAAACAGAATCATCAGAAACAAATGAGGATGTTCCTGAGGCTCAGCTGGGGCGCAGGTCAACCCAAGGTGGCTCCCGGTGACTGCAGAGTCCATGTTGTCACCCCTGCCACCGTCTCAAGAGCCCAGGACTCAGCTGCCCTGCCACCCCTCAATGCCAGTCTCAGGGAGATGCTAAACCAACCTCTGGGCTCACAGATTAAACAGCAGCAAGAGGGGCTAGCTGCCCCAGCCTAGACCAACCTCAGGACAGACTCCCAAGGTTCTCAACAGCTCCTGGGCTATGCCCTGAGCTGCCAGGGTGACCCTCTCATTACCACCCCCCACCCTGCAACATGTGGTGCCCCATGCCCTTGGTATGGACAAAGGGAAAAGCCCTCCTGGCCCTTGGCATTTCTCAGGAGAAAGTGAAGAGCTGCACCAGCAAGAGCTCATGCATTCCTCCACTCACCAGCCCCCGTCCCCTTAGCTGTGCTCCCTCACTCAGGACCCAGAGCCAGCACTTAAGAGCTGACCTAAGCTGAGAAGATGACAGGCTGTCTGCTTGGTACTCCCCGAAAGCCTCCCAGCAGCCTCAGTTCAAAGTCCTCCCCAGTTCCACTACTGGCCTAAGACTCAGAAGACTAAGGAAAGCCATCGCTGCCCTTAAGCAGCCACTCAGCATTGTCTAAGGAGGACACTGCTCCGAGCCTTCCATCCCATAGTCCCCTTACCTTATATATTAGAGCTGAGAGAGAAGGATCCCTGCCGCCCCCTCGCCCACCGGGGATCTTCGACAGTGGGTGAGGGGCATCAGGAGCACCACAGAGGCCCTGGAACAATGTGCCTGCAGCACTGGAGCTGGGGACAGTTACTCAAAGGCAAAATACTACTGCAAGAGAGAAAGACAGTGAGACAGGAATCGAGGTCCTGCAGACTTAACTCAGCATTCCACCCACCCCTGCCCTGGCTCGCCCTCAACTGCCCCAGTCCTTCCTGCTACAGCTCTCAGAACTCCTTAAAGGCAAGCCCACCATCCTACAGAGGCACAGAGAGGCTCAGAGGGCTCAGGGTCAGGCCGGATGTCTAACCAAAGGAGCCCCCGTCAAACATCAAACAAATCTCCATGACACCGGCAGACCTTGGGAGGAACCAGATGCTGGCTCGCCCGCTAGGCAGAGAGCCCCAGACCCCCACCAGCCTGTCTCCTCACCCTAAGTGTCACAACAACCTGTGTGACAGAATCACAAAGCCTCCACAATCACCTCAGGGTGGAGAGGCATAAGGGGCTTAGAAAGTCACAGGGGCTAGCACCATAATCCGGGAGGAACTTCCAAAGCCTCCCCGACCTGAACAATGGAACTAAACAAAAAATCACCCAAATCCCTCTAGGGTCAAGAACTGAGTCAAATCCAGGGATTTGGCTCCTGGAGAGGAGCTGCACCACAGTACAGAGTATTATGGTATCTGAGTTAGTCCCCGGTGTACCACCAAACGCAGAGTTGCCCTTCTTTGCTGGAATCTGACCTCGGCATGCATGGGAGTTCAAGGAATACCCGTGTGGACAGAGGGACACTCAAATGAATGTATATTGCAGGCGTGGGGGTTGCCAGGAGGAATTATATACATGCTGGGACCTGAGTAAGGAAGCCAATCATCAGCTGGGCCACAGAGGGTAAATGGCTCTGAAAGAAGCCCACTGTCGCCTTCAGGTATGTGCCCTTCCTGGCTGCCACAATTTTCAGGTGGACCCAACAGAGCTCCAGAGCTACTGCGCTGCCTTCTTTGAATCCAGTTTCCTGGCTCTTTAGGCTGAGATACAGCTCACTCCACAGGCGAAGGGCAAGCGAAGCAAGCAAAGAGGAAAACCGTCTGTCCATGTAACACCATGACTCAGCAACAGGCCTGGCCCTGGCACAGTGGCTGAAGGCAGCAGTAACATATAGAGGAGGGTGCGGCAGCAGGGTGCTGGAACCAGATCACCCAACTGTGCACATCTCTTCCCAACCAAAGTTGTGTTTAGTGACAGCATGTTGGTAGCTTGAATCAGCCACAGGACGAATATTTAAACCACAGAAATCAGCATATACCACAAACCACGGCCTTTGTTCCCTGAAAACCCTTTGTAAAATAATGAGGCGCTGCTGTGCACGCTGTCCTTTGCTTTTGATGGCACAGCATCATCTGGATTCTTTGTTTAGGCTCAGAGTGACAGAACTAAAACTCACACCTAACATGGAACAATAACCAGAGACATAGCCCCCTGAGACCCTCAGTACTAAGAGACCTATACAGGCATTCCAGCTGAGCCAGGACCCAAAGCATCACTGCTGTAGCTCAGCTCCTCTGTTCTCTCAAGAATTTCAGCCAGGGGCCTGAAATTACACTTGGAAATTTTGCTAGGAGATGAAGTGGGCCCAAAGGAGCATCAACACCTGGGGATCAACCACATGACCACCTCGGGCCTCCTCTGGAGAGCCTCAGGGCATCCTCATCTCCCTCACGAGGCCTCAACCAACAGCTACTAGCAGAAAAGGCATGACAGAGGACTGTGCTAACTGTTTAAGATCAGGGCCTGTTTTCTCCTGGGGACAATGAGTTGTTAAAATTCTCACTTTCCAATGTGTTAAGGGATAGAAAAATAGTGTCCAGGCCAGAAAGAAAAGACAAAGGTGGGAGTTTCCCCAAGCAAAGGCACACACCCACCCCTCAAGGGTCCCTCCCCATTCCCTGGAGACCACCTGCAGGCCTTGGTGGAGGTTCCTGCAGGAGCACCAGGAAGGTTGGGCCACTGGAGAAAGCTGGCTTGCTTGTACTGGTCAATAGGGATAGCCAGGGACTGAGGGCAGATAGCTGAGATGTAGACTTGTATATCAGGATAACTGCAGGGTTCACAAAATAAGCAGACCAAGGCCCTAGCAGTTCTAAAATTCTGGTGCTAACTCACTTCCAGAAAAATTATTCCTCAATGATCTCTAGATGGGAGAGCTACTTTTCAATCCCAACCTGCATTCCAACCACCACCTTTTTTCTGAACTGACTTTCACCTGCAAATAGCAGAAGTGATGGGGCCAACCCATTGAAAAGAATAAGATGGGTTTTCCCTTTTTTAGATCCAGAAGCCCCTTTATCTTCCTAGAAATAAACTCTAGGGCCTGCCCCGCGTCCAGCACTCATCTATGAGCTCCTGATGTTTCTGATGTCATGATCTCACTCCTCCTTCAAATAAAATGCAAGACGTCTATTCCATGGTAACAAATCATTTACTTTCCCACTCACACAAGGATTCTGGGAACTTTCTTCCCAAAGAAAGTCTGCAGAGAAAGCAACTGTGTATGTGTGCATGCGTGCGAGTTGGGGGTGGAAGGGTGTTTCAGTCCCCACCCTGAGATCCAGCTCCAGTTCCCTACAAGAAACAGCTGGGGTCTGGGATAAGCTTACTAGGTAGCAGTTCAGTCATTACTTTAATCGCCCATCATAATAGATCTGTTTTTAGTTACTTGCTGTGTAAATGCCAAACTGCTCTCTCTCAAGAAAAAAACAAACCTGTCATTTCTGACATGAAAAGGGAAGGGATACGGGCACATATGTCATGGTTAAAGTAATTAAAGTGAAAGTGAAGTTGCTCAGTCGTGTCCGACTCTTAGCGACCCCATGGACCGCAGCCTACCAGGCTCCTCCATCCATGGGATTTTCCAGGCAAGAGTACTGGAGTGGGGTGCCATTGCCTTCTCCAAAAAGTAATTAAGGGATATAAAGTTGCCCAGCAATGGCCTTCTCATATCAGCTTTAGTGTTCAAAATATTGTGGCAAAATATGCCACCAGCCTTAACAAGAATGTGAATCCTGGAGGAACTTAAGCACAAAAGAAAAGTGGCTTTTAAACACAAGTCTCCCTGTCACAGACCCAAATCAGGTGAGGTTTCATATTCAGTTTTGTTTCTACTGGCTCCAATGCCCAGCTTTTTCCTTTCCTTCCCCATATCCTGCTTACTACACTTGGGGGCAGACATGGTTTAATCTCTACCACCAAAGGATGATTTAAGAAGCTCAGTCTAGAGGCTGAAAAGATCAGACTGATTAAGGAGAAGCAAATGTGTCAGACTGAACTCAAACATCCAGCTGGGCTGGTCCTGCTTCTGGAGAAGAAAAAAAAGACCACACTGGAAATGAGGGTGTCAGGTATCCAAGTCAATTCGGAAGAGAGATTGGAGATTAGAGCCAAGCCAATCTGTTGGTGCTTTTATTTTCTCAGTTGTTATCAGACATGTCCTTGGAAACACTCCTCAGGATACATATGAATGCTACAGACTTATCACATCCTGCTGCCTCTAATTTAAAGCATTCTGTGAAACTGCTGTCCAAAATGTCCTTAGCAGGTTATAATTTCATACGCCAGCTACAGACAGGCAGCGTATGCTAGATGTATTCCTGGGGAACCCTGCTAGTAAACTGACTTTTTATAATTCAAATCCTATTTTTAAATCTCTAGGATGCTTACTATTTAAAGGAAGTAACCTAAAATCTCTTCAGAAAATAAAAATATTTCCT